CACTCGACAGAGGACCCCAGAAGTCTGCTGCCACCCTTTGCCATGGGCGTTCAGGCAAGGGGGTCGGTTTTAGCGGGTCTCTGGTTGGAGTGAACGTCGAGGCTTGACAAGCCAGACACTTGGAGATCTTCTCGTCGACGAGCGCGTCCAGATGAGGGAACCAGACTTGCGCTCGCAGCAGCCTTTTGCACCGGCCAACCCCCTGGTGGCCCTCGTGCGCGAGCTCAACCACCCGCTGTCGGAGGCTCCCAGCCCCAGGTTCAGGCTCAGAGGCGGGGATGTAGAGCCTGTCTTCGCGTAGGAGAACTCCTCGATTGAAGCTAAACTCTCGGAAGATTTGGCGGAACGGGTCGAGGTCTGGGTCCCTAGTGATGTAGCCCTGCTGGATGCACTTGATCAGCTTTTGGCTCTGCGGGTCTCGCGCAGTCGCTTCCTGGACTTCCTTGATGTTGATGGCGTCCGGCGTGTCATCCGAGATGACCGCGTTGATGCAAATTTCATCATGACGGTACAGGATCATGTCGTCCAGCTGCGCTGCGTGGTACGAGGAGAGCGGCATCGGATGTCTCGAAGCGTAGTCGCATGGGTTCGCCTTCCCTGGAAGGTGTACCATCTGGTACTGGAACTCTTGGGTCTGCAGTTTGTGCCGCTCGACGCGAGCATTTCCTCGCCTTTTCCCATTGTAGACGGCGAGCAGGGGCTTGTGGTCCGTGACGGAGTCGAACCGTATTCCCAGCAGGTAGTGGCGATGGACGTTCATACCCCACGCCTGAGCCAGAGACTTTTTCGAATTGGCAGTATCTCTGTTCGCACGGCGTGAGTGAGCGACTTGCGTGGTCGATCGGTATCCAGGTCCCATCGCTTGTATTTGAATTTGTATTTGACAATAGCAGACACTCTACAGCAACGCGTAGCTTTTACGTGTCCTTAGTCAGAGATGAATAAAAGAGCAAGGCAATGATGTCGCATAAACACACACACAATGACACACACGCACACACAGTACACACAGTCACGCATACAAGTCATCGCCGAGTAAAAATACGTTTCACAGCTCGTTTAAATGCCGCGGGGTCTAGATTTCTCGCGTCTCCCGGCATGGAGTTGAGGAGACTAGCAGCGCGGTACTGAAAACAGCGCTGCCCCGTCGCTGTGCGCACGGCTGAGAGGCGCAAACAGTTGTCCTGTCTAGTCGAACGCTCATCATTCCTAGTGTCAGCATGGGTATGTAAAAGCATGGCAAGCTCGGCGGGTTCTTGATATAAAATGGCTTTGTGAGCAGCAATCGCTGTCTGCATATCACACATTTGCCGAGGCGTGTGCAGGTGCAGGTCATCCCGCGCGCGAGACACATGGTCGAACTTCTTTAGCCCCGTTACCACTCTCGCGGCAAAATTGACTACTTTAAGCAGTCTAGTATCGTTTTTAGACGAGCCGTTGCCATACACCGAGATACAATATCTCACGCGCGAGATGACCAGCCCCTGCACAATGGTTAAGATCACATGCCGCGGGAGGAAGTGTCTCAGGTGGCGGAGACCTATCAGGAGGCCGACGCACTTTTGAACCACGTCACTGACGTGAACGTCCCAGCTGAGGTGACGGTCAAACGTCACACCGAGGTTTTTAACGCTAGGGCTCTCCTGAATGGTCTCGCCACCGACCCGTACGCTGACAGGTGGTAGGTTACGGGTGTTCTGGCGGGTGCCAAGGAGAAGGATTTCCGTTTTGGATTCGTTGAGCTTAAGGCCGTGGGCATGGAACCACGATGCTATAGAAGACAGGGTGGACTCCATGCGCAGGATGAGATCAGGAAGGTTGCGTTTGACATCGGATAGGAGGATTTGGGTGTCGTCAGCGTACTGGGTCACATGAGCGTCCGGCGCGTGCAAGCTGAGATCATTGGAGAAGATTGTGAACAACAAAGGACCAAGGGCGGATCCCTGGAAGACTCCCATGGTGTTGGGAAGAGGCTTGGAAACCACTCTGTCACCGGTAGAGGAAGAGATGCAGACAGACTGAGTATGACCACTGAGATAAGATGAAAACCATGAAGGATCGATACCATAAAGCTGAAGTTTGGTTAGGAGTTGGTCGTGAGGGATAACATCGAAACATTTACTGAGGTCGAGGAGGCACAACAGTGAGACATGACCGTGATCCATGTTCGAAAAGATACGGTTCGTGACGGAAAGGAGTGCGGTTTCAGTGGAATGGTGGCGGCGGAAACCATGCTGGGACGGGGAGAGGAGATGGTTATCGGACATGAAGGCAAACAGCTGCCGCTGTACCAGCCGTTCAACTGTTTTTGCCATGATGGGAACAATGGATATAGGACGGTAGTTTGAGACAAGGGTAGGATCACCGGATTTGTAGATAGGATGAACCAGGGAGTGCTTCCAGGAATCGGGAAAGTCACAGGAGGTAAGGCAGGTATTGACAATATGGAGTAGGATGGGACCTATGGCATCAAAACAAAGGAGAAGGATGCGAATACATATACCATCAGGCCCGCACGCACCAGAACGCTTATTGAGACGCACAGAACGCTTGTGACCTGGAAGAGGCTGGCGGCGATGCCATCTGGTCCCGCGTCTGTGACGAGCTTGGTGGGCAGCTGGGGGTCGAACGGCCGCAAGGCCGTCTCACTTGTCATTGCTTTCAAGATGGCTTGGTACGCCTGTTCGCACTCCTTGCTCCAGATGAACCTGGCGTGCTTTCTTGTGAGTTCTCGCAAGGGTTTGGTCAGCTGAGCGTATGCTTGTTCAGAGTTGAACATGAAGCGCGCATTGTACTGGCAAGCTTGAAGGAAGCTGCGTACGTCGTCGGTGGTCTGGGGAGGTCCCGCTTCCCTGATCGCTTTGACCTTGCGGGGGTCGGCCGACATGCCGGACTTGGAGAAGACCCAGCCGAACCAGTTCACTTCTTCGGATCCGAAGGTGCACTTTTCCTTTCGCAGAGTTAGTCCTCTTTCTTGCAGTCTCTGGAGGCATGCGTCGAGGTTCGTGGCATGCTCCTCTGCGGTCTTGCCCCACACGAGGATGTTGTCGTGTATAGATGTACATCCCGTCAATCCGCGCAGGGTGGCACTGATGCGGTCGTGAAAGATGTCAGATGCTGGCGACGCTCCAAAGAACAGTACCTTGAAGCGGTGCAGGCCTTCGTGAGTGCGGAAGGCACCCATCTTTCTCGACTCCTCTGCCAGAGCCAGCTGGTGAAAACCGTGGCTCATGTCCAGTTCCGAGAAGACTCTCGCTCCTTCCAACATATGGCGCATCTCGGCGACGGTTGTCACATGTCGCGGCGTTCTCCGGATGGCTTTGTTGGGCTCCCTCATGTCGATGTTCATCCTGATTTTCCCAGCTTCTTTCTTCTCGGTGATAACGACATTGGAGATCCATGGACACTCTTCTTGTGGTCCGACGTCTTCGATTTTTCCTTCCGCTCGCAGCTCGGCTAGGTGAGCACTGAGACGCTCTTGGTAGGCCAGGGGAACAGGACGGTAGGGTGCGACGACTGGGGTCGCCTCCGGATCAATGTGGAAGGAGACTTCATCGTCCTTCAGGAGGCCTACTCCTTCGAATACCTTCTTGTGCTTATTGACGATTGCTGCGATCTTACGTCTGTCGTCGCCGGAAATATCCTGACTCGTGCATTTCTTGGCTTGCACTGTCACGCCAGCAGCTGCGAGGGTGTCGACGATTCCTGCCACGCCGACAACATGGCCGGGTGGCTCCCCCTCGCGAGCCGATCCGCCGGCGTCGATGTGGAGGATGCCAAGCGCCTTGGCGTCCGCGTCACCCAGAAGCGGCTCCGCTAAGTGTCCATCGATGATGTACACAGTCGTGTGACACTGTGCCCCGTTTCGACTCTGAAGGGTGGCTCGCATCTCTCCCTTCACTCTCAGAAGGGTTGCTGTCCCGTACGGCCTCAGCTTGACGGATGATGCCTCCAGTTTGCCAAGGGACGCGTGGTAGGCGCTGACAGGGATGAGCGTCTTGTTGCAGCCGGAATCCACGAAGAAGGAGGTGGCGGTGCCGTTGACAGACACCTGAACAACGTTTGCATGTCCAGGCTGGATCATGCCGACCTCCACGACACGACCCACGCTGTTCTTGTCGTCCACCTCGAACTGGTACGCTTCCTCATCGTCTTCAGCAGTGAAGCGGACTTGAGCCTTGGTGCAGCTAGCAGCTCCTACGAAGTGGTTCTTCTCACCACAGAGAGCGCACGTCTTACCCCTAGCCGGACAGCGGCCCGGCGGGTGCGGTCGGTAGTGCGGCGGGCAGTTCTTGCACCTGACACGTGGGCCCGCACCTCGGCCTCCCTGGCCACTGGGTGTCCTCGTTGGCTGGTTGATGCTGTAGCGCCCTCTGGTGGCTACCCGTGCCACAGACTCTCCCACTTCTGACTGAATTGCGCCGCTGGATTTCCTGGCCTGCTCATATCCCAGGGCCGACTTGACGAGCGTCTGCAAGTCGGGGTCTCTGGCCAGGGCTTCTTGTCTCAGGCGCTCGTCTGACGTACCGAAGATGAAGGCGTCTTTCTTGGCCCGCTCTGGAGTGTAGGGGTTGGTGTCAAACTGGCACTGGGTGGCAAGCGAGTCCAACTCATCGAGGAATTCAGTCACGGTCTTCTCTCCTTGCCGTGCATGCATGAGCCGGAAGACGGCCATGGACAGGTTGACATGCTGTCTGCAGTGCGCCCGGATCTGGACGATGGCGGCCTTGAAGGTGGTGGGAGGGTCTGACTCTGTGTCGACTCCTGCTACCTTAGCGAGCTTCCGTAGGTCGCGGCCTCCCCACAGGAGGAGCAGGTTGAGCTTTTGTGTGTCATCGGTCACACCAAGGGAGTTGACGAGGAGGCTGGCATGTTCAAGCCACTCTTCGAAGATGTCGTGGTATCTGGCGGGGTCGGTTCCCAGGACACAGGGTTTGCCGGCTGTCGCGAGGCCGGCATCAGGGATGAGTGACATCCTCGTCGCCAGTGTAAAGAAGTCGTCTGCCCTAGCTTGTTTATTTACAGCCCGTTGCTGAGAGGCCAACACACCTGAGGGAGGCAACACACTGAGTCACCGTTGAGGTCCAACACTACACCCCTCCTCAGGTCAACACAGGGAGCTGCAGCACAGCCATTAAGTGATGTGGAGCTTGAGGCTCAACACTACACTACATCGGGACGCCGATGGACTCAGTTGCGGTGGTGCACCAGGGTGACCGCTTATTACTATCCCCTAATTTTCAAGCACTCTTTTCCTTCTAGCTTTTGTTCTAACTTTTTGTTCTAGCGAGACATTGGCCGAGCCGGAAAGATTCTAGGAATCAGGGGAAGGGGAAGGGGAATCAGGGGATTTATCGAGGACACCCCGTTGCACCGCCGGGGCTGTGCCCGTCCGGCGTCCTGTGGACAGGACACCGAGCCCCGCAGCGGGGCTCGGTGCCCCCGCTAATGGTCACCTCACCGGACTATGGGCCTGCTCCAGAGGAGCTACCCACGTCGGATGAGGGTGACTGTCGTCTATCCAGTCCTGAACATATTTTAGGGGGCTTGAGCCGAGAGCGAGAAGGATTTGACTCCCGAGGATGGGAAAGAGGAACGGTGTCTTGATCTTGGCCGTAATATTGTGTCCGTTATACTACTCTGTGTAATTTATCGACTTTCTCGTTAACATGAATGGCTTACTTGAGAAAAGTAACGAGCCGAGAAACTGCAGAAACGTTTTATAACTGATTAGGCAATAAGATTAAGCATACCTACCTACGAACTACGCAGTACGCATGGTTCGGTTTTCCTTTTATTTATTTTGATTCATTCCTCGAGGCTCGACAAAAAAAAAATAACAAAGCCACTCCGAAATACTCGCAAAAACGTTTAGCTTTACACCGTTTACTTTCGTTGCTTATCACCGTTTTATTACAACAATTAAGTGGCATTTAAGTACGAACAGCGTCTGTTGTGTAGGTACCTAGGCACATACAATGTAGGTATATTGTAGGTATGTATGCATACAATTCTCGCTACACACAGACGGCCGATTACCCACACACATCAAGTTCACATGCAGGCTGCAGCCATTTTCAGCTTTGTTCGGCTAATAAACGTATTCGTGGCGAAGCCGCAAAGGATGTGATTGTGGAGAACGGATGTATGTATACCTAGCATAATAGAACCAAGACACATATACGCACATTATGAATATTCATACCCTTTACGGCCTTGTACAAAGACACCACTAGTGCTTGACAGCAATGAAATAAATCATCGCACTTGTGGGCCATGGTTTTCTACGGCTTTCTGATGCGTTTTTAAGCACACCACGCGAAAAAAAGATGATGATACGAGTACACCGTACGGGGGCATTAACTATTCAAACGCAAGAAGTTGATCATATGGCGTCTCCCGAATGTGCGAAAACACTTCCTGCATCGAATGGTTTGCTTCGGCCATTGGCAAAACTCTTCATCTAGAAAAACATAAATATATACATAACACAAGATATGGTAACTTATGCTAGCGTAGCACGTGTTGGTTTTACTCGCCACAAATGTCTAATTAATTCACATTAGCTCCTGAAGCCACGAAGATACGCTCGCAGCCCGCATGAGCATGGGGCAAGTCATGCACTCTTTATTACATACTGCAACTGCACATTGCGATCGACGATTCAATAAAAAGACAAAAATAGAACACTTCAAAATATCACCATCTTACACAGCGAAGCCCAGACGACTCTCGGGCAACACAATCACACCGTCTCCGGCTGATGCCACCGGTATTTAGTGGCCGTGACCCCGCCACCGTGCTGCAGTTTGTACATCTCCACATCACGAGCCGTCAGCTCCAGATCCTTCCCAGGCTTCTTCTCACCGAACGACAGCCAAGCGATCAGCCCCCCAATCATCAGAAGACCCCCTACCACCGCCATTACCGCCTCGCCAGTCAGACGGGCGTGGGGCGTCCAGCCGCCAGCACCATCTATCCGCGACACGGACCACCACAGCTCCGAGACGAGCACACCGAGGGTCACTAGTGAGGCCAGCTGGAAGGTGGGTCGGCCGGCGGAGAGCAGGCGGACGGCGGTCAGCGTCAGGGCGGGGCAGGCGATGCCGATCAGCAGACAGGCGCGCCGGTAGTACGGGAACTGGTCGCCCAGCGCGGCGAGAGCCCGCACCAGGCCGCTGCCGAGCTCAGAGACGCTCTCCGACTGGAAAAGAAAACAAATAAGAGACATGAGAACGAATGAGAGATGGGCAATTAGTCATAAAGCCATACAATTGATATTGACTATATAATTGACTATATAATATTGACTCATAGACTACTGATATAGAGTACCTAGTCCATGATTGACCAACTATTTAAGATGCACGAGGTGACGTAAGACGCACAAACAGACGGGCGTGAGGCTTGTCAGCGAGCGTAAGATGTGTGCGATTCGACACTCTGGAGGCCGAGCTAGTCATATTGATGCCCAATCCAGCCACATTGGCATTCCATTCAGCCCCATTGACGGCCAAGCCAGTTTAACCCGCGCGGGGCTGGGGTCTCCAGCCGAACGCGCGGGGCTGGGGGGGGGGGGGTAAATTTTACCCCCCCTGTTATCTCCCAAACTAATGGTCCGATTTGGAAAATTCAAACGCCAATCGAAAGCTCTCATCACGAACTACTATAAACATGTACTTAATTTTAAGTTTGAGGTCAAGGTCAAGGTCAGGTCAAGGGTACAAATTGCAAGTTCCTACAGTATCGGCCTTGCACCGTAGTTGCCGAAGAATGGAGTCATGGACTGACACTGATCGCCCAAAACGTGGTCTTAGGCTACCAAGACAATATTCGTTGCATACAATATCATTCAGAGGTCAAGGTCAAGGTCAGGTCAGGTCAGGTCAGGTCACCAAAAAACAAAATATAGAAAAGGACATGTGCGACACATGTTTTATGGGTCATTTTACTCATAGAATTCAATAGGCACACTCAATAAGTGATATGGACCACCTCTGGATGAATTTCAGGTCGAGGTCAGGTCAAGGTCAGGTCAAGTGAGGTCAAATTTTGAAGTTGGTTGTTAAGGCCTAAAAAGGTGTCTATCTGATGCAGTTTTTAACGGCGAATCGAATGGTGCTATTTTCGTTTCCGTACGAGGTCTAGAACTTCCAAAAAAGCCATTTTTCAAAAAATTTGTGTGTCGTGACGTCATAAAATTTTGAATAACTCCCACATTTTTGAACCGATTCTTCTAAAATTTGGTATGTAGGTGCACATAGACCACTTCTCTGACATATATTCCGGTTTTTCGATAGACTCAAAATATTGGATTTTATAATGATTTTCCCAAAAAAGTTAGTTTTTTGAAAAAAATTTAGGCCAAAATCCAAAATTTTCAAAAAAACCGAGATAGCCATTTGATAGACAAAGTAAAATTACGTATAACCTTTTTTGTTACGTCTTGATTCCTTTAAAAATGAAGATGTTAGCGGCGTTTGAACTTTTGCCGTTTTTGAGGCGAAAATGGCGAACATGACGTCACTAAAACGTCAATTTCTCAAAAATTTTCCGACGGATTTCGCTCAAATTTTCAGTGAACGTGTCAAATTGATGTAAGAAAAGGTACTGAAAGTTTGGCGGCGCTGCGCGCCGCCGTTTTTGAGATATCGCAAAAATTCGCGAGGGGGGGTAAAATTTACCCCCCCCCCAGCCCCGCGCGGGTTAATTGATAGCTAGCCTAGCGACAAGTACGTGCGACCCAGACACACGTACGGCCTAGCCAACAAACACATTGAAGCCCCAGTCAGTCCAACTGACAGACCAAACGGGAAGACAATGGTGACAGCCGGGGACGCTGGATCCGTCAAAGGTGGCCATCCATACGAGTATATTCATCTGTGCGCCCTTCTTTAGTGCTTCGCTAGCCTTCACACAGGCAAAACCGTCACCGCGGCCAGCGACAAGATGTTCCTGATAAGCATGATCCATAGACGAGTAGCACAGGGCATACATTTCCCATCGATCTACCGTTCATAGTTCACTGTACATAATTCACATATCACATAGAGGCACTTTTGTGCACATCATGGTAACTGCGGACCAAACGGGATACTGGATGGCTAATCGGACCAGCCAGTCATCCACCAAGCCGGAGCCGAATTGCGAAAACAACTTCCGGATCCTGACCAAATCGGGGTGGTTTAGGGCGAGATGACACAGCTCTCGATAGTGCACGGTCATTGTGAGCATGAATAGTCCCGGTGCAATAAACGGTACCTATGTGTGTTCAACAGGGAATCTAGCCCGTGCGCTTTGTGCACAACAGAACTAACAACACGATGGGCATTCGTGCAACACCGACGGTTTCACACATCACCTGCACTACAAAACACATTACACAATGTGTGTAGCGAATGTGCACTGTGCGGTTAGCTGCGGCACAAAATACACGCCGACGTATGCGGCTGAATCCAATAGAAATGATTCGATTCAGTGCATATGAAAGTTTCGCCTGATGTACAGAAGCAGTCAAAAGGAACGAGTAAACATTTGGAATGAATCGATGTCCGATTAAAACCACAGCTCGACACAGATCAACTGGGATAAGTAAGCACACATGGAAATTTGAATCAAATAAATTCCGATCTTATAGGTTTCAACAAATAGAGTAACGTAAATAAACGTGCATTGCACCTTTTGAATCGCTTTACCTACGATAGATAACTTTATGATCCCGTAAAGTACGCACCTCTCCGACGCCGGGGACGAGGTCGACCCAGAAGAGGAGGGAGACAGTGACGAACGAAGCGGCGGTCATCAGGCCAGTGCTGGCCACGTCGTCCCACCAGGAGCTCTGACCTCCCTGGGGGGCGGGGGGGGGGGTAGAGGACAGAGGTCAGTACTCGGGCAAGGCCATGTCGTCCCACCAGGAGCTCTGACCTCCCTGGGGGGGGGGGGGAGTAGAGGTCAGTACTCGCAGAAAGGAGAATGAGGAAATATAAGCCAACACTCAACAGCACAGTGTTCAGGAAATGATGGAATGAAATAAAATATGTAGAAAAACCGGCGGCTGTTTAGTACAAGCCGGCAAGCATTTGAAAGTGGGCAAATCTCATGAAGTAGGGTCACATACATAACATCTAGCGAGAGTTGAGAAGCTTTGGAAAATAAGCCTATTCTGAGGCGCCCAGCACCTGAACTAAAGTCTGATAATGCTTGACACTATTTGGTCTGCGGTCGCTGATTAAGCCTTTCACCACCACTGACGGCCTCAGTGACACACGGATCAGCAACTCTCTCTCCTCTCTCTCTCTCTCTCTCTCTCTCTCTCTCTCTCTCTCTCTCTCTCTCTCTCTCGCTCTCTCTCTCTCTCTCTCTCTCTCTCTCTCTCTCTCTCTCTCTCTCTCTCTCTCTCTCTCTCTCTCTCTCTCTCTCTCTCTCTCTCTCTCTCTCTCTCCTCTCTCTCTCTCTCTCTCCCTCTCTCTCTC